CAGCCACCCTTCCCCCACACTCACAGCCCCCTACAAAATCCACACACCCCACACAACCACACCCCCATGCCTATCTAGCCCCCACAAATCCCACACAGACACCCACACCCTCCCCCATACCCCACATACCCACAAACTCATACCCACCCTCCCACAATATACAAGAGTAAGACTTCATTTTAGGCTATTATACTATCACCTCTATGTACACAACACATGCAAAATCATGACAAAAATATTTTTTTAAATTAAATTAATGAATGTTGTAGTACGTTTGATTTTTAGAATATAATTTGGTATTTTTCTGGTTCTGAGATGGCAAGCCCCCTTGCTGAAACGAATGCTTCCAAGGGGAAAGGGGAGGGACTTCTGGTGGCAAAGGTGAGGGGTTAGAGGGAGGAACTTCTGGTTCCAAGATGGCGAGCAGGGGTGGGGCACCTGTCAAGGGTCAGGGCTACCCATGTGGCCCTCAATGACTTGCCAAAACTTAGTAAGGATTCCTCCACCCAAAATAATTGCCCATCCCTGGATAATGTCAATAACAGTATCTATATAAGGCTACTCTTGTGCTTTAATAGCTTTTTACTATTACACACATTTCCTTCTACTATCACAGCTGGGATTTTGTCTCCTTCCTTCTTAATTAAATGGCAGCTTTCCAGGGCAGTGACTGAATTATCCAGTAATACCCAGCCTAAAGCAAACAAAATGCAAGATGGAAATTAAAGGTGACCATTAAACTATATATTATTGCATTTATATCCCACTTGAAGGCTATGGGGCACAGGGGCAAGAGGGAAAGAAATATTTATGGAATACATAAGTGAAAAATGGCCAAGTGTGGTTTGAATGAAACACTACTGTGGAAAACCAGAAAAACGAGAATGTTAGCCCATGTAACATGTTCTCATTGTAAAATTTAAATTTTTAGTTATGACTTTATAAAGAGGGAAAACTGCAGAAGTCCTTTACTTCCATCAAAATATTTAAAAAAGAAAAAAGCAAGAAATAAATTATACAATAAAGGGCATGAGGGCTTGTGTCCAGTGTTGATTTTCCTTAGGTATGATACATACTTTCAGTTTGCCAGAGGCAATAAGAAACAGCTTGATTCTGAAGTCTCAGATTCATTTTCCTATTTAAACCATTCCACTTCCACACTTTTTTTTGGTTTTGTTTTGAGGAATCGGGGGGGGGAGTGGTATTTTCCATTGAATTGTCATGACACAGTTGATCAAGTTGCAGGCAACTGGCCATAGGCTGTGGTGATCTGAGGATGTGACTCACCACTATTTAGATTTCCTGCCCCCCAGGGTATTTATGCACTTTTCTCCATTCTATCCTGTTCAGTTTTATCTGTTTGGAATTGCATTAGTACTTTAATTATGTTTGTTATTATCCTATAGAATGATAGTGGAGAGGAAAGGTTTTCATGTTTTAGAAAGAAAACGGCGATTGCTGTTTCTAACATCAGTTGACGCTAGGAGTTGCAAATAAAGGGCAGCATAAGGCCCTGCCCAGAAAAGTAAAGTGGGGGCAGCCAGTCAGCTCACTTGTAATCTCCGTTAGGCATAAGAGTTATGCTGAGCCAGCAGAGTCTCTTCTATCTACTTAATAGATGGGATAATAGGCCTTAATAGCTCTAATACTTGTTGAAGATGATGGGAGGTATTTAGTTAACTGGTTCTTGATAAGGATCTTTACTAAATTTCTCTCTCAGAGTAGGAAAATCACCTAATGAGAAATGTTTATTTTACCTTAAATTGGCTGGGGACAGTGCAATTTGAAATAGCAAATCATTTCATTCATTGATCTCTCCCCAGAAAATGAATTTTGCCTTGTAGAACTAATGATATACCCCTCACAGAGGGCAATGCCTTGAAGCACAATTGAGCCTAAATTCCATTTTTAATTATAGTTAGTTTGACGAGGCATAAAAGTTACAATAATAATATAACCCCCTCAATTGATAGCAAATCTATCCATGCTGCCCATGTGAGATCTGACTTTTCTTCTTTTCCTTTTTTTGTAGAAGTGAATCTGCCTTTCATGCAGTAAATGATTTTTTACATAGCATTTATTTCACCAATACCTTATTGTCCTATTCAGCATCACTCCAGGACTAGCACTGTTTCTCTCCCTTCTGCACCTTCCTGTCTATTCTTCCAATACTACCCACATACACATAATCCTCTTTTTCTTCTTTCCCCATCCGTCCTATGCTCTGAAAGAGGCAGAGGCTCTGTGGGGGGAAAAAAAAGAATAATACCATGTGGTTGTGGTTTACTCTGCACTCCACTACTCCAGTTCTACTGAGAAAACTAGAATACACAAAGCCTTTCTGCACCAGCAGAACCCTGACTTCTGCCAGTAGAGAGGCACTGCTGCCAAAACTAGGTAGTCAGCAGAAGGCATGTGCAGTCCCCATACCTTCAGCTGCTGTGATCCATTCAACAGCTGCTGCTCTCCCAAAATGCACTTTGTACTCTGACAACACAAATGCACACTGGAGTTGCATAGAGTCACAATAAACTTGTGGGTTTGTATGCACTCTGGCAGCTTGGCAGAGGCAGCTGTCTGCCACCAGATTGCCACCAGAACATCTGGTGGCAGAAGCATGTGTGCATAGACATAGGCCATGCAGTGAAAAAGACTACATCATAATGTATACATATAAGGGGTATAATACCTTGCACAGAGATCCTTAACTGTATTGCAGCTATTATGTCAATTAAATGCTGGGCGGGGGGTTCTTTTACCTGAAGCATTATTTCTAGATTTCAGCATTTATTCTGCAGTTATTGAAATAGAGCATGGGGGAGCCACAGTTTTGTGATTGTTTCAGGCAATTTCATAGCCTCAGGAAGATAGCACTGCATCAATTTATCCTTTTTTCACACACAACACCCCCCTCCCCCATGCACGTGGACACACACACACCCCCTTATCTTTTCCAAAGATGAGGGCTAGAAATATAACTGTTCCCTACTTTAAATGTACCAAATAATCAATATCCGGCCTATAGACCAGGGTTAGGCATGTTTTTTGGCCGGAATGCCGAAAAAACCACAATGTCTACCTTGGAATGTGCCAGAGTGCCAACATGCCAGAGCCCGGAGCAGTTGTTTGCAGCCTCCCAGCTGTAGCTGGCCCACAGAGCCCAGTCTGCTTGCAGCAGGGCTTGCAGCCTCCCAGCCACCTGCTGGGAGCAGCCTGGGCTCTGTGGCTGGCAGCAGTTGCTTACAGCCCAGGCTGGTGGTGGTGTGCCAAACAAAATGGCCTTGCGTGCCATGCTCAGCACACATGCCAGAGGCTGCTGACCCCTGCTATAGACCATGCATTTGTCACCCATGATTACTGTAATGAACTCTGTTGGGCAAAGACTTACCATGCAGTTTTACAGTTTTACTTGTCCTAACACAATACTGGCCTGATCTGACTGGCTCATTTTTTCTGTTACTGTATTGTAATTATTTAAACAGCAACAATTCACTATTCAGGCAACCCTGCCCTAGATTCTTTCTTATGTACGATTTATTAGGTAAAAAAGTTGCCATGAATTCTCACTTGCCTTCTAAACACAAGAAATTTTCAAGGCTCTGTCAGCTTTTTATAACTCACTTCAAAGACTGAACTAAGAAACTGCTATTCAGTGTTTATTTGGTTTTGGTTTTTTTATTGCTGATACTAAGAAGAATTCTCAGGTTTCTGAGCCAGTGTTCTGAAGTCAATTAGAAAGTATCCTTTGCTTCTGTGCAATCTAGGCCATCATATGCTCAGATGAAGGGAAGCAGTCAAATGCCAATTCACCTTCCAACAGTCAATACCTGAAATAAGGTCAGTGACTTTACAGCATAAGATATCTCTTGCTGCTTCCAAGAAAGTACATTTTGCCTGACATGTCCATCCCTCCTGGTTGTTTCAGTAATGCTTCGTCCAACAGAGTTTCCAGCCACCTTCTTACCCTTTACAAGCAAAATACTGGAAGAGAGGATTTCAAAGGACAAGCTAGTTATGCTACATATATTTGTGGCAAAAGGCCACCTCTGTTTCTCCCCAAAAACTCTGCTCTGTGACAATTTGGTTAAGATGGACGCAGCAGAGGATACACACCTTACCCCATCTCTTTAGGTAACCTGAGCTGGATACATTTCTGAGGGAGGGGGGAAACCTGCTCCCTCTGCCTACATGACTGGTATCAGCTACCTGGGTGAGGGGCTTGCTCCCTGCAGAGCTAGGAACTGCCAGTCTGCCCAGCAACCAGTGATGCATTTCAAATTGGTTGGCTGACAGCCAACAGGTGCTGGCCTCCATTGGACCAGGTAAATGAGGTCATAAGGGCTATATAAGTTAAGGACTGCCCAGGAGGAGGAGGAAGCAGTCATGAGGAAGACTCAGAGAGAGAGAGAGAGAGAGAGAGAGAGAGCGAGCGAGCGAGCGAGCGAGCGAGCGAGCGAAGAGCTGAACTATCTGATTCTTGCTCTCTCTCTTAAAACTCATGATCAAGGAACTGCCTGCCTCCAGAAGGAATCTCCACCAGCCTCTGGATGATACTTGTGAGTAAGCTACCTGAGATCTAACTAGATATATAGCTTGCAGTAACTCAGATGCGTGATCAAAGGCTACCCAGCCATGCTAGTTTGCTCTATGGGATTTCTCTGATATTGCTCTACCCTGTACCCTATTCCAACCCTACCCCTTGTAACCAATAAAATTCTCCTTTGTACCTAGCGTGGGAGACTTATTGGGAGTGGGTCTAGATTATGCCTTGGGGTCCCCTTGGTTCGGCTGACTAAGGGAGACCACTACTTCAGATGCCTCCCTCAGTCAGAAGCACAAGTTCTTGAAGTGAATCAAGTACCCTTGAGGGCTACTAGGCCTGTGTTTCCCAGAGTGTGCAGAGCCAGAACCAAGCCCAGCCCTTGGTAGCAGTGCAACCCCCAGGCTAGCGGATGTGCTCCAGGAAGGGGGTCAGCCAGACACGAGGCCTCCCCAGGGAGGCACTTGGCCTGGAAGGTGGTTGGGCACAGTGAGGCAGGTGGCTCAATGTGGGAGTGCCCCTTACTGGCCTGCCACAATATTCATCAATACAGCTATATTTTTGTAAGTTTTAAATGTATGCTTTTACAAAGAAATGTGCTGACTCACTGAGATGTCATAAGGATCCTTGCACAAAATCTTATTATTTCAATTGTGTCTAGGTATTTTTATTACAGTAGTCCCCAGAGATCCTGATCTTGATACTGTCATGCAAATACAGACTAAGAGATAAGCCCTACCCAAAGGATTTTTATCTTTGCCTAGTGAAATACAAATAATAAGTAACAGCATAAGACCTCCCACAAACTCTCATAAGACTTCCTGAGTAGTTTCCTAGTTAAACAGTACAAGGAACACTAATGTATTTGTTCCTTGATAGGATCATTGACTCCAAGATGAACATGGGCCGACAATGCGAGGTCATGGTTGGCAGGGCTAACCGGACCTTATCGTGCATCCACAGGTTCATCTCAAGTAGAGCCAAGGAGGTGATCCTCCCCCTCTATGCGACGCTGGTCAGGCCACAGCT